CATCCGGTTTATTAATTTTATAAATATAATTTATTAACTAAATTTGCGCGTAATCTCGCAACGTCGCAACCTTGCATGGCAACAGCGGATTTCTTGAAGTGCAGCGACATTCTATGGCAGCGAACAATGTGTATCCACATAACCTGTAATAAGTTTTTGTTCGGTGCAGAAACAACCATGGAAAACATTATATGGAGAATATCTCATTTTGCATACGAGTATTTCGCTGAAAAAGAAAATTCTGTGAAATCAACATTTTGGGCTACATAGTCGTTGTTAAAGTCAACTCTGTTAATATAAAACAGCATAGATATAATCTAAGTACACCAAGTTCTCAAGCAAAAAATATAGGTTATGTTTCCCAGAAATCAAATATATTTACAAGAGAAAACTTACGAAAATTTTTAACAGAGGCCCGTGATTAATGTACCTAATGTCAAAGGTAATCTCAAAGAAGGTCAATCACATTGTCTATAAAACATAATGTTTTAGGTATATTTTTTATTCGAAGTTGTAGGAGTATGCGGAAAGGAAGAATTTGAACAATTTTCTTGTATCTACATAACCTATAATAAGCTTTTATTATTATTACAGAACAGATTATTAGCTTACATGCCCATTTTAAATGAAAGTATGAAGCATACCTCTTATTTTTCGGCACTTTTAATATTTTTGCTTGCAGAAAGATCTGCAGCAATTGCAAAATAGAGATGGATAGCAATAATAACAAGCAGTTTACATGCATTCGACCGAACTTGCAAAAACTGGCAGATAATATATCAAATTTATTACCTAAAAACTCAGCCACAGTTTATGAAAAGCGGTATGAATTTTTTTTTTTTGCGCAGAAACAACCATGCAAAATATATGGAGAACACCTCATTGCATACGAGTATTTCGCTGAAAAAGCAAATTCTGTGAAATCTTTAACACTTTGGGCTGCATAGTCGTAGTTAAAGTCAACTCTGTTAATAAAAAACAGCATAGATATATCTAAGTACACCAAGTTTTCAAGCAAAAAATATAGGTTACATTGCCAAGAAATCAAATATATTTACAAGAGAAGACTTACCAAAATTTTTAACAGAAGCCCGTGATTAAATGTACATGATGTTAAAGGTGATCTCAAACAAGGTCAATCACATTGTCTATAAATCATTATGTTTTAGGTTTATTTTTTATTAGAAGTTGTAGGAGCATGTGGAATGGATAAATTGAAAAATAATGACGGCATTCAAGACAAAAACGATACGCTAATAATTAAAATTCCAACGTCTAAAACTGGCAAAGCACGAGAATTTACAAATATGTGTAAAAATATTTATCCAATTGAAATATAGTAAAAATACCTAATTTTAAGACCGCACCATACACCAGACAAATCATTATTTATACATTACATTTGGATAGTGAATGCAGCAGCTGCTGCATTGTACAAATATACCTGCAAACACACTGTAACAAATTATGCAGACACCTCTTTTGACTAAAAGATATATATTTAACTTTATCCATACGTTGTCAACTTTGTTAATAATTGCAATCTCTAACTTCATAAGAAATATGAATAATCTACTTTGGTGTTTTATAGTAGTATTAAATGTTCATAGAATATAATTGCACTTACTACGAAGTAAGCTTTCCTAGTTTTAAGTTGTTTTCTTTTCTCTTTGATTATCTTAATTTCTTCAGCCTCTATGTGGCTGTTTTAATTCCAAAAAATTGTTTCTGAATAAACTGATTCATACCACTTTTTCTTTCTTTTACTCGGAAACAGTTTAAACTATAACTCCAAATATTTACCTACTTTACAACGTGTCAAGCATTCGGTTGTTGTAAATGATGCAACCATAAATACAAATTTGAACACTGATATGACAGGTTTGAGGCTAGGATGTGGTTTTCATATACTCCCATTACTTGTTGCCTAAATCTGGCGCGAGGCCAAAAGTTATTATTGACGTATATATATAGCAATGTAGCTATATGCTTACACTTCTCCCCAGCACCTGCCTTGCAGGAGCATGTGCCTTGCCATGTATTAAAATCTAAAATAGAAAAATATTTGTTAATTTGTACAGCATCAAATTAATTTAATACTCATCACTGACTACCTGTAGAAACAATTATTATTGAACCAGGATGAACTTACCTGAAAAATCGCCAAATATAACTTGAATCCAGTGGGGCTCTGCATGCAAGGTTATGCACCAGGCATTAATTATTTATTCATGAAACGACACAATTATTATTTTACCTTCATTAGTAAATATTCATTGTCATCTGCTTCTGACAAAAACGTTTCAGTCTGATTGTCAGACTGTCCGTCCGATTTTCTGCTCAATAAGGGCCGCAGTTTGGCATATTTGCTTATGTGAATGTTATCATGTACTTGAATGCAGGATCTTATCATCGAATATTGGGCCCACAACGTTGATGATTTGTATTCTTTGGATTTTTCATCAAAATACGCAGGCAGTACGTTTTCTGAGTAGGTTTTCGCTTTCTTTTCTCTGCACAAATCTCGCGATTTCTGAAGCAACTAGTTCAGTGTTGCCACGTTAGCAGCGTCCTCTACGGATTGAGGTTCCTCCGCTGGCTCTTCCACAAAAACACTTGCTTGAACCGAAACTTGAACTAATTTCGTGAAACAATCACTTTTTTGATAGTAAACAAATTTTGGTTGTCATGGTATGCATTTAAAATTTCCAAAGCTTCCAAAATTTATGAACAGACAATTAGCGAAACCATGTTCTATAGAACGTACAACACGCAAAAGGAAGAAAAAACTGTTACATCTACAGAAACATAGAAAATGCAGTGTCTCAATTGGGGATTGTGTACGTTTACCTAACATACCTTGTACGGAACGTAATTTCGCTAATTATCTAATGTTAAGCTCTTATTCCGTACAATTGTTTATTTAATAAAATCGATCGTTTTAGTTCTTGGTTGTCGAAAAAATAGTATATAAACCACGGGAAGGAAATGCATTTCGCCCTCATTGATTTGTCGGGCTTCGCCCTCTGGCGTCAAATTTGCACTTCTGGCGAAATCGAGCATTTCTTTCCCTTGATTTATAATATACTATTTCATTTCCATTTCCTTTTCTTAATCTCGTTAATCCATTCATGCGCGTCACCAATGAGATGACGAGGCAATGCCCTTATCACAACGATGCCGTCTGGCTGGTGAACTGCCAGATGGGGTTTAAACCAGAGATATGGAGAGGGAGAATGAGCTTCCCCTTGCGCAGACAAAATCCTTGGTCTAAAATTGAAAGCAGCCATTTTATCAGTTGACTGTTGCCAACATAATCACAAATCACTAACAGAACTTGATATCCCTAGACAATTGCTTGATTATTGGGCGGGAAGTTTAAAATCATTAATTAAAATTACCTAATAATAAATCACAACTAAAAGATATTCCACCTTACATAAATAAATAAACATAATTATACTTAAATATATTTATTGATGCGAAAACAGCACCAATTATGTGTACACATGTCTAACAGAAATGCCTTGAGCAAGACATGAAGTCTTTTGCTCAAATTAAATATTCTTATTTACATTTAGGCATTAATTATTTGTTTAATAAGAATATATAAATGGTCTTCATCGATGGCCGCCGCCTCGAGTGCGTGGGTCCTCTAAATTAGGAAAAAGAATGCTGGCATGCCGAAAGTTTTAAAAAATTGTTCATCGCTTGGAAGTTTGTTATCGGTGAGTTGCAAAATTTTTCGTATTTGCAACTCACAGTAACAACAAGTCTTTACAACCCCAGCAAAAGGTTTAATAAGCCCACCTAAAATCAAAATTTTGTTAAGACTTAAAAAATAACTATTGTAAGTATTTTATTTTACCCATGTTTTTTTTGTCCAATAATCTGTAAAACTGGAAGTCACTTCCTCGTGTTTCAATGCAAGAAGAAATGCAGTCTGCGCACTTAAACGTCTTCACCACCACGTTGACAACATAGCTACCAATATATGCCACAACGTTTTCTGCCACTTCACTCGGCCCAATAAAATTAGACGGTCATAGTCATGATCTGCAAGTGCTTCAGTCAAAATATCGAGACCATATTTTTTCCAGACAAACATGTCAACTGATTGTTGAACATTTGTGCTCTTTTGCTTTGGGCCACTGCTAACAGAGAGCATACAGGTGGTGCAAAGCACTTTACAATTTCCTCCTTCCCTCGTTATGTTTGTAAATAGAAGCGATCTTCTAAAAGTTTTACAAAATTGTAGAGGAGTAGGGTTATTGTTTCACCCATTTCTCGATCTGAAAACAGAAAAATAAATACAGATTTGTGTAATTCCAGTGCATAAAAAAGTAATACAATTGTTTCTTTAAAAGCTCACCGCACTGAGCAGAAGAAAATTTACAGATGATTTTGACTACATTTATATGTTAGCAAGTCATTCAAGCTCTTACTACTAACAAATTCATCAAAAATTCCCATGAACGACGTAGCGGAAATAACAAAGCCCAGAATTGACGTTTTTCGGGGCGTGCACCACAAAGGCCTGCCAGTGACATCCTTCAAAATCAGAAGATACTCATTGGTGTCGATGAGAAATGGACGCCACATTTCTTCATTGTTTTCTCTCAAAGGTGCCTTAAAATTCTTAGCACGTACACTTCGGGAATTGAGAATATCAAATAAAGAATCTATCCTTCTGATGAATTCTATTGTTGCTTCACAACTTTGAAAGTCACCAATACCAAGATCTTTTAAAAATTCAAGTGCATCCGCAACTCTTGCTAAAAGTTTGTGCTGCTAAACTCACCTATAATAGAACTTAATTATTAATGTCAATAAGGAATATTGTCAGGAAAACAACTTACTTTCATTTTATGTTGCCGCCACTCCAAATGTGCCTTTTTCAACTTGTTTGCAACATTTAGGAATTCTTCTTCACGTAGTTTCATTATGTAACGCCAGTTTATCACCTTCCCTACTGTCAGAACTACTTTTTGAGTTCGTGCTTTTATTTCCACTTGTACTGTTACTGCTTTTTCCATGGTATCTCTGCGCAGCACTAAATAATAATTATTAACAGTAGTAAAAAATTCAATATAAAATATTCAAACCTTAATGTCCTCTTTACACCTTGAGGTATAATCGATGGAGACTCTTCTCAAATATCAGCTGAAGTAGCACTCACAGTACTCATTGAAGTTGAAGAAGCTTCTAGACTTTCATCTAAATTCACACTGGGAATTGCGTTCGATTTCAATTGTTTTCTCTCATTTACAACAATGAAATCAGTTGTTGTGAAATGATCTGAGCACACCAGCTTATACTTAGTCAGTTTGAAGCTGTCATCTTTTTTCACAACAATCAGCCACTTTTTTAAAAGTTCTCGATCTTTCGGAAACCTAAAATCAGATATAATAATAAATATTGATCACATAGTATTGCAATAACCAATTGTTATTAATTATAAATACCTACGTATTCGATTTTAATAAGATAATGAAGAAAACTTACTGATGAAAAGATACACCTTCTGAACGAAATCGTTGACAATTTTTACAGTGACAGACTGTACAAGACATGTTTGTTGTCAATAATAATGTCCTTTAACACTAACAAGCACGTTCACACGTACACTAACGGTAAAACAAATTAAGTAATAATTTTAACTCCAAATTACAACTGGTTCAACAACGTCGTAACCTCGTACGTAAACAAAACTTTAAGGTTAACTGATAAAATGGCGGCCCCCACAGTGTACCGACAGTGGCGAGCGACTTTCTTCACGACTTCGTCGTGTCTCCGAATTCTTGGGTCGTGCGTGAACGGACAAGTCTGCAGCACGTGGGGTATCGATTCATCGACAGCACAGCCGTTTCGACAACGACGGTCGCCAACTGGTACGGCTTTCGTCGGGAGATTGCCCGTTCGCAGTTGAATTGCCTGGACGTAATCCCTACCCGACCAGCCGGCCGGCTTCTCGCTGATCCAGAGCCTACTAGAAGAATCCTCAGATGCTTCTTCTAGGTCCTTGGAGAGGGCGCCATAGGCTATTCTCGCTCTCCAGAAAGTAGATTCCGGAAAGTCACCCGCCATGTTTGACAGCGAAGCCATCAATAACCTCACGCGGTCGGATTTTAGGACAGCCTGCAAAGCCTGGTCATGTTCCTTCTCTAGCAGAGTATTGAGCCTACCCAAGAATATTCGTGGAACCGCTTTACGCAGTTCCATGACACCCAGCCCACCGTCTCGCACGATAGCGTGGATCAGCGCATCTGGGGTATGCACGTTCAAGTGACAGATGTACATCATTGTCTTCCAGATAAGCGTATCTCCAGCCCTGAGTGTCTTGGAAGTAACCTTGGTATTCTGCAAGCCGTAGAGCAGTCTAGGAATGACATAGCCTTTTAAGCGAGAGTTTCTGGTCAGGTTTAAGAGGTGATTTTATAATGTTGTCTAGCCAGATCGTAAGGTTGCAGAGATTCGGTTTTTCCACGCCTTTATGGCCAAGTTCGTGTCCCAGATACCGAAAGGCATTGAAAGCTTCGACATTTAGAATCCGCGTGCCGTTGATGGTGTAAGAAGACCTATTCCTCTCCACCGAACGTCTGCTTAGCACCCCTGCGATTAAAGCCCTGCACTTGGCTGGGTTAACCGCCATTCCCCTTCGTTCTAAAAATGCAGCGACATCGTCGAGCATCAGGAGGATCTCTACATCGTGGATACCGTATCGAAAGCTTTCCGTGCATCCAGAGATATTACATGGTAGCCCTTACCTTTCAGCGTAGCAGACCTGAGGTACTCGTGGAGTATCCTAGCATTCGCAAGGGTGCCGTCAATCTCTGTAAAACCCCTCTGGGACGAGCTCATTGAGGCCAACTTTGAAAGACGGTACGCCAACACCTTATGCAAAAGCCGTTGTACTGCCGAGCCGATGGTAATTGGACGCCAGTTAGCCAGATCTCCCTCCTTCGGTACCAGCGTAGTTCACTCGTTCATGAGAGAGTCGAGGATAAGGACGTTCGCGACGCAACCGTCGGTGGGGACGAAACCCTGTTGATTCTTCTTCAGGTCGACAACAGCGGTCACCTTGGGTATGAGGACTCGGTGTAAGGGCCTTTGTACGACAGACCCGATGGTGATGGGTCTTCAGTTCGTGGCCTGCTTCCTGTCTTTGCCCGTTTCGGGTACCAGGGGTGGGATTTTGTTTCTACCGATACGCTACGTAGCGATAAATGACAAGGACGAAAATATAAAACTCAGATGCGAAACAAAAAGACGACCACATTTTATCGGAACCGATATTTTATCGTTATAGAAACAAAATAAGATGTCTTAGAGTTTTGAACGGGCACAGGTCGATTTCAATTGCAGGTTAAACCTGTATGCTGATACTTATTGACGGAGCCGAATGGTTGCAACTCGTAACAAAGCGTTGAGTAGAAAAGTTTTAAAACTGTAATGAAATTAGTTCAGTTTTCCATTCTACGTTAATTACCTTTTAATTTAGATTTTTCTAGTTTATCATTTTTTGTGTTATCATTTCATTTGTTTGACATTTGAGTGACAGCGGTTTATCGACGATATAGAGTGCATTTTTTTTTTAAAAGTGGCCATAGGGATTCCCATGTTAAATTTTATACCCGCTGTTAACTTATGTTTGAGTAAAGATTCATAGTTGAAATTTTTACTGGATGTAATTTGGACCATCTTTTGTCACACTTTAAATTAAAGGATATTTCTTTAAAAAAAATAAAATATTTGGTTATTTTTGTCTGTAATATTGTAGCCATGCAAAAACAGACATTCTAAAATTTGATTACTCGTTCGATTATTGGTTTTTAGTGACCGAAATTCGTCAATATGCCACAGTACACAATTAAAGAAAAAGTGGAAATGCTCACTGATAGATATATTAAAGGCTTAAATATGAGAAATTGCGCAAAATTGTGCTGCAGCATACCTAGATCGTCCTAGACCCGGCAAGAGCACAATTTAAAAATTTTATGGCAAATTTATAAACACAAGTTTTCTCGATCTCATCAAAAAGGCAATTTCAGTGAAATTTTCATTTATTTCCTTCATTTATGTTTGAATTCCATCATTCTGTTTCTTTTCTAAAAACTGCACTATAGGTATTTCATGGCTAAATTAAAATTGTGCTGTCAAAAATGGCAAATTAAAGTGATAAGTCAAAACTTTCTATGATGTACCAAAGTTTTTTAATCAAAATAATTTTAATTTTTTAAAGCACAAATTAATAATTTACTGCAAAATGTGGTAGTGGAAATTAAAGTAGAACCTTAAGGCTATTTTCACCGAAAAAATTACTTCTGGGTTTTCACCCTTACAAAAGTTAACATGGGGTCTAAAATTTAACATGGGAATCCCTATGGCCACTTTTAAAGAAGATGCACTGTATAATATGATTTGGAGTATTACGAAATAGAAAAGGATTATGAATACTAAACTATATATATATGGAAACATGTCTGGAAAACTTCTGTTTAAATCCAATGTTTCCAGAAATAATTGATTCTGGAATCGAAACAGACCGTTCCGGGATATTTAAAGAAAAAGGTCATAGATCTAAAGTTAGACGAATATATTACTGTTTATTTAACAATATGTCCATATTTTAAAAAGAGTTATCAACTCAAGAATTAAACAATTTTAGCATTTGGTTTCTCTTTCTGGAGGTGATAGTAATATAGTAGCTACCATGTATAACAATTGCTAAAACAACGTCTATTTGTAACACAATAACCCCAAGTGCCTGAAGTCGTTCCCACAAGGATTTCAACTTTTCAATGTCAATATTTACAGAATTTCTTAGGTTTGCCAGAGGTAAAAGATTTTCTTCGTCCCAGACAGAGTTGCGTCCACAACCAGCTTTCTGAAAACAGTTGCTTATTGTTTTTTCTGTCACCGAAAGCCAAGCTTTTGTAAGATGCCGAATGCAATCCAACAAAAATAATTTAGAAAGTTGTTGAGTTTCTTCCAACAATTGCTACAAATTTTAATAAAATGTTTTTTCTATAGTGAACCTTCAAATTTTTGATAATACCCACATCCATTGGTTGTAGTTTTGAGGTTGTATTCGGTGGAAAAAATTGAATTTTAACGAATTTCAATGAAGATGGAATGTCTGGAGGATGGCTGGTGCAATTCTCCATAAACAACAAAATTTTGAGATTTTGGGCAGTAAATTGTTTGTCGAGATTTAATAACCATTTTGAAAATATTTCGCCAGTCATCCAAGCTTTTTTATTGCTATAGTACTCCACAGTTAATGTCCGAATTCCTTTAAAACATCGTTCCGGCCTCTGCGTCAAGAGTGTGTGGCAAACAGTTTAAAAACGACAGCTTACGGTAATTAATAAATTATGTTAATCATAGACATCAAAGAATTTTAGATTTTTTTTCAATTTTCCAAAACAAAAAAACTAGGCAAAATCTAATGATTAAGAGGATGATAAAGACGAAGAAAAAAATTATATTAAACATTTCCATAAATCATTCTTAATTTTATATTTCACTCATCTATTATTTCCTTATAATCGCTTTGATACCAGACACAGTAACAACTCAATAATAACCAGGCTATTATGAGAGGTTGTCATGAACCATAACGCCCTCCAATTTTGTTAACAATTTTATTCAACATTATTAAGTACAGCAGAAGGTACAAAAGTCAAAAAAGAAGCAGCAATTCCAAATGGTAGATGAAAGTTTCCGGTCAAAACAGAATTTTCTAAGTGGATAGCTTCCTCTTGAAGTAAGTTTGATGAATAGAGAGCGGATTTTATGAAATTTGCATATCCGTAATTTTTTGCATATAAGTCTTGATATTTAATATGTCAACAAATCATGCTAATTAAAAATGAATACAGCAATAAAAAAATTGCATATTTGCATATATTTGCATTCTGCTGCATATTTCACGTAATGGGTGCATATTTTGCATTTTTATCAATTTTTGTGCTAATTTGAAAAAAAAGATTGCCATTCGATCGGCATTTATCTAGAAAGACGAGTCATATTGCAAATATCGTCCTGAGCTTCAAATAACTATGAAAGGTTTGGGTTTTATGGTAGTTTGGAGGAACCACTGGGTGTTAAGCCATCCTTCCAGGTAAATTCGCGCCCTAATTACTTTTGGAAATACGTTCATTCCCAATATTTTTGTTCTTTACTTCAGTGTATTTATGGTATGTTTTGTGGTGGTTGAAGGGACGTTATCCTATTATTTTTCATCGTGAGTTTGCATTGAAAGCGGTACAGGTGTGTCAATATGTCGAAGATAACTCAAATTAATTTATGGTTCAAACCTTTTCCTGAACTTATTCTTCAAGAAGGAACTGTGTTTTGTCGCCCCTGCTCTAAACCGGTAAGTATTTTTACATCTGTGGACGAAGTACGCAGTTTTTCTATTTACAAATACATACTCGTACTTTAGAATCACCGGAAAATTTTTTTGTTACAATATTTCGAAAAATATTTAAAAATAAATTGTTGCCAAAATAGTAATTAAATTAGTGGATTACTACTCTTTTTTAATTTTTCTGTTTATATTTA